AAGTTGGATGGGACTTGGAGCAACCTGGTGTAGTGGAGGGCGTCCCTGCCCATGGCAGGGGGGTTGGAACTGGATGATCTTTGAGGTCCCTTCCAACCCAAACCATTCCATGACTCTATGATTCTATGCAGAGCACAACTGTCCCAAAGCTGGGGCACATTTCCACGCCCCGTGGCCCAGCGGCACCACTTCTCCTTCCAGCTGCCTCCTCTGCTCCCTCTCCCTCACCTGGTTACCCCATCCTCTGTCCGCAACTCCCACAAGCGCATTCCTTGCAAGAGCTGGCTTGCACGGGGACGGAGCCTTCGCAGAGATAAACAGACCTTCGTGCAGGCAAAGGACATGTGCCAAATCTAGGAGATCACAAAGGCTCTTTAAAAGCTCATTTTTAGCTGCAAAGCAGCCGAATTCCAACATTAGGAAAGAGCTCTGACCCTGCCGGTGCCAGCAGGAACTCCAGCACCCATCCTTACCCAAATTCTTTTCACATTTGCAGAGAGATTGCAAAAAGAATCCCACACAGCCTCCCAGAGAAGAGATTAAAGGTAGGCTTTCTGAATTCTCCTCCAAAAAACCCTCCTGCAACGCACACACACGCAGGCAGGAGCATTTCCAGCCCGCACGCACTCCCGTGTTTTCTCCAGCAACCGCTGCTCCACCTACACTCTCCAACATCACCATGTTGATAGATCCCATCTCAAACCCCGAAACAAGCTGGGTGCAGCAGGTTTTACCGGTATACAGGAAAGCAGTGCTGGGATTCCTCCCGTCCCCTCTCCCTACCCAATCCTCTCCTACCAAAAGAACCTTTAAAAAAAACAAAAAACACAAACAAAACCAGAATAGTAACACCCAGCTAACAGCAAGCACCGTGCCTGCTACAGAAAAGCAGAGGTAAAATCCACCGAGGACAGAGCTGCCCAGGGGGACCTGGGCATGGGCACCATCCAGCTGCAAGCAAACATCTCTGGGATCAGCAGAAGAACCTGCTGCCTTCTTAAATCCTGTGCCATCAGGGCACCCAAGTACAGCAGAATGACCCAGTAGCCTTTAGCTTGTCCTGCACATGTTGGAGAATCCCGAATTCAAAGGAAGCTCCAAAACGGGCATGTTTAGGGCAAGATTTTGGACGTGCATCATTTCCGAAGTGTCAGCAAGGCTTCCTGGCACACGAGGGAAGGATGCCCGGCCAGGTGGGCAGCTGCATGGCACCCCACGCTGTCTGCAAGAGGTAAGGATGGGAGACAAGACAGGTTAATCACAACGAGGGGAACTCGGGCAGCTTCGGCGTGGCAATCAAGGAAGATACATGGAGTGCAGGGAGACAGATGGTTGTGCGCATTTATTTTTCCTTTGATAAAAATGGTATGCAAATTACACAGCCATGGAGGCTCTTGGGAAAGTATCACCCTGCTGGTCCTCGGGGAGCTTCTTGGAGAGTCATAACATTCAAACACACCAAAATGGGGGGAGGGGGGAATGGAAGATGGATCTAAACTGGGAAGAACATGAACTTCAACATTTTCCAGTGAAGCGAAAAAGATTGTTAACCTTATTTTTCAATTTCCTTTTTTGTTTTCACACTTTCAGAAATGAGCCTACTGAGCACAAGAGTCAACAAACCCCTGACAGCACCGCACAAGAACTAAATTCCTCAGGCAGAAACACACCTTCCAAACACGTTCTTCTGCACGGCACGTTCAACTCAAGTTCCAGAACAGCAAGCCTGATCTCTGAAGTCATCCAGGCTCCTTTACACCGTCTCAAGAGCGTAAAGAGGCCGTACTTCAAACGCAGTTTTCATGCACATTAACCCCCTACCAGGAGATCAGAGGCACCTGTGTGCAAGGGACACAGGCTCAGTTCATCCAATGGAACATTAAGACAAATAACGTCAGAAATTTCCAGGTCATTTCAATTTTTCTTTTGATCCATTCCCAATAAGATGCTGGGAGAAATAATCAAAACCCAAACTCGGCTCGAGTTTTAAATATTTGCCTGAAAGGAGGGCTAGAGGAGGGAATCATGTACAGTTAAAATCAAGCTACTCAAAACACAATCATTCAGGTAAGTAACTAGAAGTATCGCCTCTACCATCTAGAGAGAGAGAGAGAGAGAGAGAGAGAGAGAAGAGTGTCTGAGACAGAGGGCATATTTAGGAAAAAATACACATCTGAAGTCTCTGTGGCCACGATGAGAACTGGAATCCACATACAAGCCAGTTAAAGAGCGTTTCAACATGAAATCTTAACTTAGTAGGAAGGTCAGGGGTTAAGCTGTATCTTTTTGTTTTAAATACATGGACAGCTGTCAGATATGAAAAATGACGGTGGGCTTTCCTGAAAGATCCCCATGTGTATGGATGCGTGTGCTGACGCCTGCGGGGCAGCATGACAGGAGTTTAGGAAGGCTGGGAGCCCAGCAGTCTCTCAATAGCTGCATTGATGTCTCCACCAGTGGCAATCAGTGCCTGGAGGTTGGCCTCCCGGTTGATGAAGCCCATGGCGTTCAGCTGCTCCAGCTGCTGTTGGAATCGCACTTCAGGGCTCTGCGCCTGCAGAGGGAAAGGACAAAGGCCTTAGAGTCAGAGAGCAGAGATCAACGTCCAACATGGGCAGGGCCAGCAGGGACCCTGAGCTCAGCTTTAGGTGTATCAAAACACTCCAGGCTCGTTTAGAGACGTTACCCACCGCCCCACACTGCCACGAGCTTTGGCACAGCAGCCACACCGCACCCAGTTAGTCCCAGTTCTGTACCTACAGTGACAGCAGCACTGGGAGGAAGATCCCTGACACTTCTTAGCTTCAAACCTGTGCAAAGGGTGACTACACTCCAAAGAATTAGCCAGCCTGACACACCAAACTCAGCACAAAGCACCAAAGCCAAGGGAGAAGGGTTGGGCACCACATCCCTAGAGTGGGGTGGGATCAGGACAACCTCTGGCTCACCCTGGAGATGCCCTCCCCAGATGCAGCATGCAGCTGGGCATTACATACTTGAGAGTTTCCTCCGGCCAACAGCTGGATCATCTGCTGCATGAGCTGCTGTTGGGGGTTACCACCCCCAGCTGGAGAGGCACTGGCCGGCGTCGAAGCGGAGGGAACGGGGTTCTCCGGGATTGTGCTTCCTCCTGTGGAGGACGGGGGCAGAGGGAGCCGAGGCTGCAGAGAAAGGCAGGGGGCACTCAGAGGCGAGCTGGCACTTCTGGGTGCCCCCTGAGAGCCAGGCAGCATGGCAACCAGCAGGCTCTGCCAGGCTGCCCCTCGCTGAGGTCCATACTACAGGACAACTTTGTAGATTAAACCGGCTGCGTTTGTATCCTGGTCACACACGGCACTGGGAGCAAGTGATCCTAACAGAGGTGCGGGCCTGAAAGGAACTGCAGAGACTGAACGTGACCCTCGCTGCCAGAGAGCAGAAGGCCTGAGGGCTGCCAGCAAACCAGTTTGCCCCAACGTAGCAACCCAACCTCGTGGCTGTGCATCTCACACTGTTCTCCAGAGATAAAATTCTTGAGTTCGGCTGATACCGAATACGGCAAACAAAAGATGGGGGAGGGACCAAGCGGTTTCCAAACCTTTTCTCCAAAAGGAAAGGGTCAAGGACTTCCCGCGTGAAGTACGATCAAGCAAAAAGTGCTAATTAGCTGGAGCTCACAGAGGCACAGACAGGCAGAAGTCCCCACGACAGAATGCCCTCAGCAGATCTCCTCGACGAACAGCTAGCCTGCCTGCTGGTACCAGGGATGCCAGCTCTGCCTGCAGAAACCCACTCCGAAGCGCTTGTTACCTTGGCACTAGTCCTGGGGCCTCCGTTTGCAGCGTCTGGAGTCCCTGCTGGATCTGGAGGAGCGCCTGCATGGCGCGGGGGTTGGTGAGAATGGAGAGGGAGTCTGGGTTCTGCATCTGGGAACAAAGGCAAAAGGCATAGTGGTACCAAACAGCGAGAGATCCAGCAGCTTTAAATTGAAAACCAGCAGAGAGCTGCACCTCTCGCCCCGCAGCCAGAGCAAACCTGTGAGTCTGGCTCCTCCTCCGAGGCTCCAGACCGCAGGGCTCATCTACAGAGGCACTCACAGAGTTTAGATCAAATTTCCTGAATGAACTAAGTGAATCAGATTAGAACTGGGGGCACACGCCTTTGGAATTGAAGTGATTTCATTTGATTTACCTGAGTGAACCAGTTGCTCTAGCACAATTACCTCTTAACTTTTGTAAACTCGTTACAGCGAGAGACTGTCCACACGGGGGTTTCGTGGAGCTTAACTAGTCTAATTTGAAGTCCACCTCTGGGTAATTTAGATGACTTCATTTAGATTGCCTTGCCTAAACAAGCTCCTCCGTGCAAACCCCTTTCTTTCACAGCCCAAACCACCCCAGCCCACACGCTTCCTAGTCCGCTTGACCAAGCAGCTGAGATACTCCCTTTCCTACAGAGGACGGAAAAGCTCTGGAGCCCAGAGGCTGAGAGCAGCACAGGGCCAGACAGGGGCCTTTACCTGCTGCAGGAAGACAGGGAGCTGAAGGCGGAGCTGTTCTTGAAGCTGTGGATTCCCAGCAAAGAGGGGGACATTTACCATGATCTAGCAAGAGACAGCACACGTAGGTAGGGTCAGAGGGCTGCTGCCACTGGCTGTTAAGCCCTACGTAACTAAGCCACGAAGAGCAAGTCAGTCACGCCCCTGACTCCCTCCCTGGGCTTTCAACATGTTCCCCTGGCTAACGGTGACTGAAACAGGACAGCTCAGCTCCTGGCAGCAGTGCTGAACAGGGGCCACTTGGCCACAGGCAGAAAGGAGAGCCATTCCCATGTCCCTTGGAAAGCCACCTCTTTGGTGAGGGGCTCTGCTGAGACACAGGGTTCAGTACTGTGACTGCCTGCGAGCTACGGAGAAACGCAAGAAAACTGTCTGTATTCACTCAGCACTCCAGTTTCTGCAAGAGGAACCAATCCAACTACAGAAGCAGACTGGTCTCGCAGGCACTGTGCTCAGGGCCTGTCTGACAACAGAAGACAACTGCAACACTTACCTGTGCTGCAAAGTCCGGGTTTTGGGCAAGAGTTTGCATCATGCTCCGCATGTAAGGGGCGGAGATCATGTTCTGCATCAGCTGAGGGTTTTCGGAAATCTGCTGCAGGAGTCCTTGCATCTCTGGGCTGTTAAACATGCCTGCATGGGGAAAGGGAAGAGAAGGCAAAGGAAAACCCCTTACAAGCCTGAGCACAGCTGCAATGCCTGAAATACAACATGACATAACAGCAACGCCTTTACTTCATCCTCTGGCCAACAGCGAATACTGCTGCCGACAGGCGCGGTGGTGCTTTGCTTGCCCCTCTCCCGTGCTCTCCAGGGTGGCAGGGACATCGGAGTTCCCAAAGTAACCCACCCACAGGCACACCAGAAATAACCCCTTTGTGCTCACAACTAGGCTAGAATCCTTCATCTGGAGAGCAGCCACGGACAGGCCCTCAAATGCCAGAGGGAAGCACCCTCCAAGGAAGTCTGGGTGACCTGTTCGGTCGGTAGCACCCTCTGGTTCCTCTCTTGCTTACGTACCAGCCCCAATGCCAGCAGCGTTCAGCCCAAAGGGGTTGGATACAGTCGGTGTGCTTTGGGTGGTTGCTGAGCCAGTGCTCCCTTCACTGCTGGGTGCCTGGCTCTGGGAAGCAGGGGGCGTGGGGCTCCAAGGGTTCGGTAACGGCTCTCTGTTCTCCGTCCGCAAAGGCTGAGAGCTTGAGCTATCAGAGTTCCCCGTCAAGGAAGAGAAAGGATTGTTGCCAAACTAGGGAAAAAGAAAAGAGAAATAGCTGCACTCAGCTCCAGCAGAGAACGTCGGACTAGCCCCACCACTGCTGGAGGCAGGGAACAGCTGACCACATCCACTCAGGTCCAGAATTTGCTAACCACGTGCCATAAATCGCCTCCTGAGAAATCGGTAATTCCCAACACACCTCGCTCAGAAACAGACCAGGCTCGAGAAGCGGCCAGAGCCCTAGACTGGGCTCCCAAACATCCATGTAAAACCAGCACCCGGACATACCAGTAGGTAATGTTAGCCTGGAGTATGTCTGCACAGCCTTCTGCAGACAGACCTGCGCTCGCTCCTGCTGAGCTCCAAGCCAGCTGGACCCCAGCCAGCTCCAATCCGACAGCGTCAGGCTCGAGCTAACGCAGCAAGCCGGGCTGAGCGCTAACGAAGCGATGGGGCCTTGCACCAGCGATGGCTGGCATCCAGCACGCTTGCAGAGCGAAGGAGCGAGGGCAGGTCTCTGCTCAGACACACCACACCGTGCGAGAAAAGCAGATGCCAGGCACTGCGCCACGTTCATGGTTGCATCCATCTAGAGTGGAGGGGATGCACAGCCGTGCCTTGGGAAGGCTGCCCAGTTAGCACGGGGGGCAGGGAAAGACCCCTTCCCCATGCTCGGCACACGACACCCCACTCACAGGAGCGCAGCCCATACCTGCTCCCTGGCTGCGCTGAACATGGGCTCCTGGATGTCCGTGTACATCCGGCGCAGGGCGTTGTATCCTCCTGGAATGCTCTCGAGGTTACTCAAAGCACGGTCCTGGTTCCGCATCATCTCCTGCATCATGGCAGGGTTACGAGCCAACTCCATTGTCTGGGAGAAGGAGGAAAACGGGGAAAGCTCAGGCCCATGTGCACCATGGCAGACTGGAGCAGATCGAAAGACCAGTTAGCAGCCCAGTGGCATTCTACTGATCTACCAGCCAAGCACTGAAAGAGTTAAATCTCAGCTCCCAGAAGAAAGAGTCTAATTAAACCCGTTTCACAGTCAGAGAGCAGAGAGATCATTTATCCAAGCAAAGGGAGCCCAGGGATCCTGGCTCCTCCCATCCTTGCTCAGCTCTCTTCCTTCTCAACCTCGATTCGGCTGGATGAGAGTGTTTTGTTTCTAAGCAGCATCAGGACATCCAAACATTCAGCATCCGTATGTTCCCACTCCAAGCAGATGGACTGCATTCAAAAACCAAGAAGGTGGAAGAGACTGGATCCTTCCCATTCCAAGAAAACAAAGAAATTCACCCTCTCCACACTCCTGATGGGTCTCCCCTGCACAAGGAACATCCAGATCTGACTTGAGGAGCCGCTTAAGTACGGATCATTCACAATTTAGCCCTGCAGCTCTGGAATTTCAGGTATGGCCAACACAGTTGAAAGAAAGATAACTGGAAAGCAGATGGAAACTAGGCTTACTCAGCAACAACCCAGAAAGACCTCCTGACAAGTCTTCCTGGGGGAAGAGCAGAGTCCTGTCAAGGGCTATTTAACACTCAGGGTCTCGCTCATCCCTTATGCTTCCCTTCCAACAAACCTTCGGTCTTCCAGATAGCCAGTCCTCCAGGGCATGGGTGCCCTCTGCTCTGGGACCATACAGGAAATCGAGACCTCTAGGATCCTGGCCTAGGACTAGTGCTCGCACTGATACAGGTAGTAAAACACTGACTGTGCAGCTCTGTAGCCTGCACTTCATCTATCAAGAGAAAGAGAGAGAAAAAAGAAGCTTTTGCAGGAGCTTCACTTCTCCATGGCTGCTTTTGCTCCCATTCCTGTATGCAGCACGCTAGGATGACCCCAGCATCCTCTTTTGCCCAATAACTGAAGGATTTGGTAGCCCTGAAAGGGAGATAAGAGCTGCAAGTACGTGGGTTGAGTACTCAGTACTCACACAGCTCAAGACCACCATCTGTTTGCGGGGAGCTTACAGAAGGAAGGAAGAGATCTCTCAAATCCCTGATCTGGCACTCACACACTCCCTTTGGAGAGCAGACACTGAAGCTGGTCCACAAAGATGCTCTTGAAGATGCTTCAAACAGGTCTGGCGTGTTGACTCACCTGCCTCATGAGCTCGGGGTTATTCAGCATGTGGCTTATCTCCGGATTTCGCTCCATAAGCTGCTGCATCTGGGGATTGGCCATGATCATCTGTCTCATGAGGTCAGGGTTAGACATCATGTTCTGCACCAAGGGATTCTCCATGATCTGAGAAAGCATCTCTGGGTTGGACATCAGCTGCCGCTGCATCTGCTGCTGGAGTTCCATGAAGTTGGCAGAGCCCATCCCAAGGTTGCCCAGCCCAGTGATGCCACCAAAACCAGCTGGAGAGGGAACAACACATGGGGAGAGAGGCGTGAGTCAGTAACTGTCGGCAGCTGCAAAAAGAGGACAAGCACATCAGCTGACCTGCACCCACACCGACCTAGGGGTATCCATTATTCCTACAGATCTGAGGGAGGACACCTCCTACACATGCTTCCCCAAGGGCTCCGGCATTATCGTGAGCGGGAAAACTGAGGTATGCCAGGGAAAACGACTCATGCAAAGCCTGCAGCAAGCAGAGACAACTACAGAGGTCAAGAAGCCCTTGACCTTCTCACAGCCATCACTTACACAGGATGGACGTAGCACTATTGGGGCCTCCATCTCCAGCACCTCCCATGGTCCCTGACCCACTGCTCCGCCTGCTGCCGCTTCCCGCGTCAGAAACGGCGCTGCTGGATGTGGAAGGCTGAGAGGAGGCGGCAGGAGAGGAAGGGGTTGCGGTGGGGGCAGAAGCAGCGGTGGGGGCAGAAGCAGCAGACGTTGAATCTTGAACCCTGCAAAGAAACAAAAGCAGGCATTAAACTCCTGAGGTTCAGGACCGGAGAGGGGACACGGGATGGGGACCGAGCCTCCCTTTGCGCCTGTCGCCCCCCCAGCAGCCAGCTCTGGCTGCTTCCATGCCTGCCTGCACAGCTGTGCTCCCAGCTGCTGGAATCTGCCTCCCATCCTGATGCACAACAGCCCCTGACACTCATCCTGGCCCACACGAAGTGGCTGGACTGGTCTTACCCCAAGTTGTATCTAACTCTTCCTTGAATCACACTCAGCTATTTACCTCGGCTATATCCTTGAGCAATGAGTTTGCTCCAAACAGGAAAATCCTCCTGCTGCTCCCACAGAAACCACAGGAGGTTACAGCAGGGCTAGTGCATGGGGCAAACAAGAATATGCTTTTCTGCAAGTCCTCCCATACACTGAATATTCCTATCGCTGCCCCTGGGGGCAAAAATAAGTATCAGCATTGCTCTGCAGGTAGGGAAACCAAGGCACAAGGTGAAGAGCTGTGAAATTATTCCACAAAATTCACTTTATTCACCTCAAATAAGAAATGCCATTATGCCACTGACAAGTAAATAGGAACAATGATTTCCTGATTTTTTTTTTTTCCCCCCCCAAACCAAGGGTTTTCTCCAAACCATTCCTTTCTCTGACTCCCCTTCCTTTTCCACTCTTATTCTAGGACTTGAAAAAGAACAACCCTGAAGGTCCCTGTCCACTTTCCAGACTCACCTGACTGCTGCTGAAAACCAGCAGCCACCAAGAGGCAGGCAGAGAGTGGGGAAACAAAGTAAATAGGAAGCTGAACGAAAAAGGAAGGAGGAAGCTGGAGAAAGGTCACTTGGTTTCTCTCAGCACAGGAAGAGGCTGTAATGCCTGCAGTAAGCACTTCTCTGCAACTAGTAGTGGGGAGAAAAAAAAAAATAGCAACCCAGGACAGCTCTCTCGTGAACCATTTCAAAGGGTAAATAAGAACCACAGTTGGCTGCGGAGACAGAAGTAAACAGCATCAGGCTACCTGGAGATGCGGGATCCAGAAAGGCCTCCTGCAGAAGCTGACAATACATGTGCTTGTCGTTGTAAAAAAGAGGGGGGAAAAAAAGAAAAAAAAAAAAAAAAAAGCACTAATCTTTACTAAGCCAGCTCTCCCAGGGGACAGCAGAACTGCACAAAGAGACACAGCCCTGTCAGCTCACCGGGAGCTCGACTGGACTGCAGCAGGG